CAATCACTGACCTAACAAGCGCAACATAGACCTTCTTAAGGCAGGCCCGGCTTGCTCCCCAATCCCGACCTCTCAAACATCTCATTATATTTAAAACTTTTTTGCTTTTCTCTACAATCTTTTGAATATGCCCCTTCCATGTCACTCTACTGTCAAACCATAATCCTAAATATTTAAACTCATTCACTACCTCCAATCTCTCCCCATACAGATTAATATTAACAACAGCCTTTTTCTTTCTCGTAAAACTCATTACTTTTGTTTTTGCAACAGAGAACCTAAATCCCCACTTTACAGACCACGATTCAACTTTCTGTATCGCTTCTTGAATCTTCCCCACTATATATTTTACATTCCTTCCTCGCTTCCATACTACTCCATCATCCGCGAACAGTGACACTCCAACAGACCCTTCAACATTACAAAAAATCTCATTTATCATTATGGAGAAGAACACTGGACTCACAATACTCCCTTGTGGCGTCCCATTGTCTACCTCATACCTTGCGCTTATCTCAGATCCTACTCGTACCAAAATCTTTCTCCCTGTTAGAAACTGTCTGACCCATCCAAGCATTTCCCCTCTTATTCCCATCTGACGCAACCTTATTATAAGCCCTTCCCGCCACATCATATCGTAGGCTTTTTCCACATCAAAAAACACTGCCACCACACTCTCCTTGTTAGCCTGGGCCTTTCTTATGTCATGCTCCAATAAAACTGCTGGATCTATTGTGCTCCTGCCCTTTCTAAACCCATACTGATGGTCTTTAAGCAACCTATTTTTTCCACAAAGTATACTAATCTCTCATTGACCATTTCCTCCATTAATTTGCAAACATGTGAGGTCAAGGCTATAGGCCTATAACTCTCGACCGCACTGGGGTCCTTACCTGGCTTACAAATTGGCACCACTACCGCTTCTTTCCACTGCTCTGGCAACACACTCTCTGCCCAGACTTTATTATACAATTTTAACAGCTTTTCCTTACTACGATTACTAAGATTCTTTAACATACAGTAGCTAATATCGTCCCCCCCTGGGGACGTCTTCCCACATTTATTTAACGCACCATTTAGTTCAAACATTGAAAACTCCACATTGATCACATCATTATAACTCTGTGCATGCTCTAAGCCACCTGCGTGTTTTAATACTGTCCGCTCTCTTTCTCTCCTTTCCTCTATGCTTAAATTTTCTGAGCTATGGACCCTTGCAAAATATTTAGCCAATTCTTCAGCTTTACCCTTATCCTCCATCACGATACGCTCCCCACTTTTCATCACAGGGTAGCTAAACACCCTACCCCTACCTGCCATCTTTCTAATTGTTCCCCAAACCTGGCTCATAGAAGTCTGTCTGTCCAGCGTGTCACAGTAACCCCTCCAATAGTTCTTCTTAGCTGCCCTGATCACTCTCCTGCCAACTGCCAACTTCCTCTTATAGTCCAGATAATTCTCCCAGTTTACATTATTTGCCAAAGCCTTGAAGGCTTTATTTCTCTCACGTATGGCTACAGTGCACTCTTCTGACCACCAGGGGACGATCTTCCTTTTCCTCCTCCCCTCCTTCTTTCTAACTGTCTGTTTTGCTGCATGAACTATTGCATTACACAAGCTACTATTAAACTCATCCACAGTAATATGACCATTAACATTTATCTTCTCAGTTTCTTCTTCACAAATGGTTTTGAACTTACCCCAGTCCACCTTGTCAAAACACCATTTACCTACCCCTCCAACAGCAGCTTCTTCAAAACTAAACCCTATCTGAATGACTAGTGGAAAATGGTCACTTCCTACCGTAGTTTCCTTATCCACCTTCCATGTGCAGTTCCCAGCAATACTCTCAGACACCAGTGTTAAGTCTAACGAGGACTCCTTCCCAGTCCTCGAATCAAATCTAGTTCCACTCCCATCATTCAGACATACAAGGCTCTTTATATCCAATAATTCTTCAACCACCAGTCCATTCGCATCATTAACCCCACTCCACAATGTACTATGTGCGTTAAAATCACCACAACACACCACCTTCCCTTCCATGTGCATCATAATCTCCTGCAGACCCTCCAGTGATAACCTTTTGCATGGATTATAGAAATTTACAACTATAATCTTACCTCCTCTCCCCCATACTTCTATAACTATACACTCAAGTGTTTCTCCCTTACTTACAACCCTATACTGAATCCCGCTTCTAACAAATATTGCACACCCACCACCATTTCCTCCATCCCGATCCCTTCTTACACATTCATACCCCCTAATAACAAAATCCAGTGAATCCTTAAGCCATGTCTCTTGCACACAGATAATATCCGGTTTTACTTGACTATTTTGCACATACGCCTTAAACTCCTGACCATTTGCAATTAAACTCCGAGCGTTCCACTGTATTAGATTCATTGCTTCTCAGCAATGCCTCCTCCTCCTCCCTTACTACCCACTTCCAGTCTCTTGTACACCTGCTCCCATGGTATTCCCTTCACCAAGAACTTTTCGGCACCCTTCACGACAATCTTTACTTTTTCTGCTCTATGTTTAGTTTGATCAACGCAGTTAACCACATAGGCCAAAAACACAAGCCAGTCTCCCATATCCGGGCCTACACTCACCTCTCTTCTCAGCCCTACCTCTGCGGAACCTCCATTCCCCCGTGTTTGAACTGGAACCTTCTTCGCTGCCTCAGCATACGTGGTGTTATCTGCAACTTTGACTTTCTCAATTTCCACAGCCCTTTTCCTGACTTCACATCCCCCATATGAAGTGGTGTGTTGTCCCCCACAGTTACAGCACTTTATTTTGTCTTTTTCTTTACATTCTTCGATCCTATGCTCCCCTCCACACCTAGAACAGCGTTGTTTCCCTCTACACACCGCTGCTATGTGCCCATAGTGTTGGCACTTATAGCACCGGAGCGGGGGAGGAACAAACTCTCTTACCGGGAAACTCAAACACCCCACTCTGATCTTTTCAGGAAGCACCTCATCACAAAACTCCACTAAAACAGACAGACTTTGGACCCTTTGGCCCTCACTCCTTCGCATCAGCCTTGTAACTGCTTTCACCCCTGCTCCAAAGCTATTTTTTAGTTTCTCAAGATCCTCGTCGAGAGGGACACCGGTTATCACCCCCCGCGCCCCCCTCCTTTCCCCGACTATCTTGCGCTCCCTAACCACCATCTTACCTATACTTCCTAACTGCATCACCTCATCCTTTTGCGCTTCAGACTTGCACACAATTAATAAACACCCATCTCTCAAAAATCTTTGCTAACTCCACTTCTCCCAACTTCTTTTTTATCTCCCTGGACAGCGCCAAAATCCCGACCTTTAAAGCCTCACTTTCACTCCCGAACTTAAGTATAACCTTAGGTTTGTTTGGTTCTCGAACTACTCTCTTACGCATCACTGACCTTCCTTCATCTGGACTAGAATCATCTAAACCACGCTTACTTCTCTGACTGCTCCTACCCCCCCTGTCCCCATCCCTACGTAATGATGGAAAGTCATCAAAGTTCATCAAATCATCCTCCTCCTCTGCCTGGGAGTCCATCCCGGCCCAGTCACAAACCAGATTATGCCAAACTGCCAGTATCGATGTTCTCTTTTATTATTTATCTTAGATTCAAACTTGCGTCCGCTCTCACATCGGACGTGCGCTGAAGCTCATTGGGTACAACCTGCAGACGCCAAGTAAAGCCGCTTCTGATTGGACGAGAGGATGTGATGCTAGCGACGACCTCCTTTGCTACCGAGTTAATAACAACAAGTGTTTGCCGCTGGGATCCTACCAACATGGCGGAGACGGGGAGGGGCTCTGTGCTATGACGTCAGCTCCTCACTCTCAATAGATTCATGCACTGGCAATTCAAAATACAGATAATATACAAAATATACTTAACAAAATCCACGTATACGTGAGAAAACAACTTACTTTCTGTCTCCAACTCTTTTCAATGTGGAAATGATACATCTATATCTAAAAACTGTGCAGACTGTGTACTTACTAGAGAGGGTGATTCCAAGTAGCTAAATAAAGCAGGGCAGCGACAGAGGTACAGATTCAACGTCATATCAACGTCTGGGAAGGCATTACTTTACGTCCAGATTCACACCTTACGTCGTTTAGACGTGGAAAACAGGTCCTCGACCGAGCGACTCACGTGTCAGGCTGTAAAGCCTAAGTTATACTCGCGCGGCGCATAAGTGTGCGTCGGTTGTTTAGGGTGTTATGTATTACTTTGTCACAGTAGTCTGGATAAATGCCTGGCCGTGGTGTAGCGGTTGCGTAATGTGACTTCAGTCCCAACGACGCAGGTTCAAATCCCCGTCGGAAAACTTTTGACTTTTTACTTTTTAGCGAACAATTTTTCTGTTTGGTTAAAAACGAATAAACACTCAACATAAGATTATGTAGTGGCTAATAATAAAACTTGTGAACCCATGCATTTGCATACAATCTCAAGTGCTCACCCCTTATTTGCAAACTTGAGATTGTTAGCACAACAAATGCATACATTCACAAGTTTTATTATTAGCCACTACGTAATCCTATGTTGAGTGTTTATTAGTCTTTAACCAAACAGAAAAAAATTGTTCGTTAAAAATCAAAACAAATATGTAAAGATAATAATACACACACGTAGGCTCGAACTCACGTAACCAAGGCTGCACACATTTGCTTAACCACTACACTACCGTCAGGTACACCAACATTGCTTCACAGCCTATATATTCTATTGCTAGATCAAGACGTACTGCGTCGGTCAGCCGATGACCTGTTTTCGACGTCTAAGGGAGGTCGGGATTGAACGTCATATCCACGTATATGGGAGGTCATTGTTTTACGTCCAGATGCGCACCTTGCACAGACGTCGTTTGGACGTAAATAAAAGGTCACGACCGACCGACGCGATATTGACGTGATCTGGAGGTTGAGTGGACGTCGGATGTTTAGTGGGATGGTGGTCGTTGTTGTTGGGTGTTTGTTGATGGATGGTTGTTGTTGTTGGATGGTGGTTGTTGTTGGATGGTGGTTGTTGGACGGTTGTTGTTGGACGGTTGTTGTTGGACGGTGGTTGGTGTTTGACGATGGTTGTTGTTGGACAGTGGTTGTTGTTTGACGGTGGTTATTGTTGGATGGTGGTTGTTGTTGGACGGTGGTTGTTGGACGGTGGTTGTTATTGGACGGTGGTTGTTGTTGGATGGTGGTTGTTGGACGGTGGTTGTTGTTGGATGGTTGTTGTTGGGCGGTGGTTGTTGTTGGACGATGGTTGTTGTTGGACGGTTGTTGTTATTGGACGGTGGTTGTTATTGGACGGTGGTTGTTGTTGGATGGTTGTTGTTGGACGGTTGTTGTTGGACGGTGGTTGTTGGACAGTGGTTGGTGTTGGATGGTGGTTGTTGTTGGATGGTGGTTGTTGTTGGATGGTTGTTGTTGGATGGTCGTTGTTGTTGGATGGTTGTTGTTGGACGATGGTTGTTGTTGGATGGTTTTTGTTGGACGGTGGTTGTTGTTGGACGGTGGTTGTTGGACGGTGGTTGTTGTTGGACGTGGTTGTTGTTGGACGGTGGTTGTTGTTGGACGATGGTTGTTGTTGGACGGTGGTTGTTGTTGGACGGTGGTTGTTGTTGGATGGTTGTTGTTGGACGATGGTTGTTGTTGGATGGTGGTTGTTTTTGGACGGTGTTTGTTGTTGGATGGTGGTGGTTGTTGGATGGTGGTTGTTGGAGGGTGGTTGTTGGATGGTTGTTGTTGGATGGTTGTTGTTGGACGATGGTTGTTGTTGGATGGTGGTTGTTGTTGGACGGTGGTTGTTGTTGGATGGTGGTTGTTGGATGGTGGTGGTTGTTGTTGGATGGTGGTTGTTGGAGGGTGGTTGTTGTTGGATGGTTGTTGTTGGATGGTTGTTGTTGGACGGTGGTCGTTGTTGTTGGGTGTTTGTTGATGGATGGTTGTTGTTGTTGGTTGGTTGGTGGTGGTTTGTTGGATGGTGGTTGTTGGACGGTTGTTGTTGGACGGTTGTTGTTGGACGGTGGTTGGTGTTGGACGATGGTTGTTGTTGGACAGTGGTTGTTGTTTGACGGTGGTTGTTGTTGGAGGGTGGTTGTTATTGGATGGTTGTTGTTGGACGATGGTTGTTGTTGGATGGTGGTCGTTGTTGTTGGGTGTTTGTTGATGGATGGTTGTTGTTGTTGTTGGATGGTGGTTGTTGGACGGTTGTTGTTGGACGGTTGTTGTTGGACGGTGGTTGGTGTTTGACGATGGTTGTTGTTGGACAGTGGTTGTTGTTTGAGGGTGGTTGTTGTTGGATGGTGGTTGTTGTTGGACGGTGGTTGTTGGACGGTGGTTGTTATTGGACGGTGGTTGTTGTTGGATGGTGGTTGTTGGACGGTGGTTGTTGTTGGTGTTGTTGTTGGTGTTGTTGTTGGGCGGTGGTTGTTGTTGGACGATGGTTGTTGTTGGACGGTGGTTGTTATTGGACGGTGGTTGTTATTGGACGGTGGTTGTTATTGGACGGTGGTTGTTGTTGGATGGTGGTTGTTGTTGGACGGTGGCTGGTGTTGGACGATGGTTGTTGTTGGACGGTGGTTGTTGTTGGATGGTTGTTGTTGGATGGTGGTTGTTGGACGGTGGTTGTTGTTGGATGGTGGTTGTTGTTGGATGGTGGTTGTTGTTGGACGGTGGTTGTTGTTGGATGGTGGTTGTTGTTGGACGGTGGTTGTTGGACGGTGGTTGTTGTTGGATGGTTGTTGTTGGACAGTGGTTGGTTTTGGACGATGGTTGTTGTTGGACGGTGGTTGTTGTTGGACGGTGGTTGTTGTTGGACGGTGGTTGTTGTTGGATGGTGGTTGTTGGATGGTGGTTGTTGTTGGATGGTTGTTGTTGGACGGTGGTTGTTGTTGGATGGTGGTTGTTGGACGGTGGTTGTTGTTGGATGGTTGTTGTTGGATGGTGGTTGTTGTTGGATGGTGGTTGTTGTTGGAGGGTAGTTGTTGTTGGATGGTGGTTGTTGGACGGTGGTTGTTGTTGAATGGTTGTTGTTGGACGGTGGTTGTTGTTGGATGGTGGTTGTTGGACGGTGGTTGTTGTTGGATGGTTGTTGTTGGATGGTGGTTGTTGTTGGTTGGTGGTTGGTGTTGTTGGACGGTGGTTGTTGGACGGTGGTTGTTGGACGGTGGTTGTTGTTGGATGGTTGTTGTTGGACGATGGTTGTTGTTGGATGGTGGTTGTTGTTGGACGGTGGTTGTTGGAGGGTGGTTGTTGTTGGATGGTGGTTGTTGGATGGTGGTTGTTGTTGGATGGTTGTTGTTGGAGGGTGGTTGTTGTTGGATGGTTGTTGTTGGACGATGGTTGTTGTTGGACGGTGGTTGTTGTTGGATGGTGGTTGTTGATGGATGGTTGTTGTTGTTGGATGGTGGTTGTTGTTGGACAGTGGTTGTTGGACGGTTGTTGTTGGACGGTTGTTGTTGGATGGTTGTTGTTGGATGGTTGTTGTTGGACGATGGTTGTTGTTGGACGGTGGTTGTTGTTGGACGGTGGTTGTTGGAGGGTGGTTGTTGTTGGATGGTGGTTGTTGGATGGTTGTTGTTGGAGGGTGGTTGTTGTTGGATGGTTGTTGTTGGACGATGGTTGTTGTTGGACGGTGGTTGTTGTTGGATGGTGGTTGTTGATGGATGGTTGTTGTTGTTGGATGGTGGTTGTTGTTGGACGGTGGTTGTTGGACGGTTGTTGTTGGACGGTTGTTGTTGGATGGTTGTTGTTGGATGGTTGTCGTTGGATGGTGGTTGTTGGACGGTGGTTGTTGTTGGATGGTGGTTGTTGGAGGGTGGTTGTTGTTGGATGGTTGTTGTTGGATGGTTGTTGTTGGACGATGGTTGTTGTTGGACGGTGGTCGTTGTTGTTGGGTGTTTGTTGATGGATGGTTGTTGCTGTTGGATGGTGGTTGTTGTTGGATGGTGGTTGTTGGACGGTTGTTGTTGGACGGTGGTTGGTGTTGGACGATGGTTGTTGTTGGACAGTGGTTGTTGTTTGACGGTGGTTGTTGTTGGAGGGTGGTTGTTGTTGGATGGTTGTTGTTGGACGATGGTTGTTGTTGGATGGTGGTCGTTGTTGTTGGGTGTTTGTTGATGGATGGTTGTTGTTGTTGGATGGTGGTTGTTGTTGGATGGTGGTTGTTGGACGGTTGTTGTTGGACGGTTGTTGTTGGACGGTGGTTGGTGTTTGACGATGGTTGTTGTTGGACAGTGGTTGTTGTTTGACGGTGGTTGTTGTTGGATGGTGGTTGTTGTTGGACGGTGGTTGTTGGACGGTGGTTGTTATTGGACGGTGGTTGTTGTTGGATGGTGGTTGTTGGACGGTGGTTGTTGTTGGATGGTTGTTGTTGGGCGGTGGTTGTTGTTGGACGATGGTTGTTGTTGGACGGTTGTTGTTATTGGACGGTGGTTGTTATTGGACGGTGGTTGTTATTGGACGGTGGTTGTTGTTGGATGGTGGTTGTTGTTGGACGGTGGCTGGTGTTGGACGATGGTTGTTGTTGGACGGTGGTTGTTGTTGGATGGTTGTTGTTGGATGGTGGTTGTTGGACGGTGGTTGTTGTTGGATGGTGGTTGTTGTTGGATGGTGGTTGTTGTTGGACGGTGCTTGTTGGACGGTGGTTGTTGTTGGATGGTGGTTGTTGTTGGACGGTGGTTGTTGGACGGTGGTTGTTGTTGGATGGTTGTTGTTGGACAGTGGTTGGTTTTGGACGATGGTTGTTGTTGGACGGTGGTTGTTGTTGGACGGTGGTTGTTGTTGGATGGTGGTTGTTGGATGGTGGTTGTTGTTGGATGGTTGTTGTTGGACGGTGGTTGTTGTTGGATGGTGGTTGTTGGACGGTGGTTGTTGTTGGTGGTTGTTGTTGGATGGTGGTTGTTGTTGGAGGGTAGTTGTTGTTGGATGGTGGTTGTTAGACGGTGGTTGTTGTTGAATGGTTGTTGTTGGACGGTGGTTGTTGTTGGATGGTGGTTGTTGGACGGTGGTTGTTGTTGGATGGTTGTTGTTGGATGGTGGTTGTTGTTGGATGGTGGTTGTTGTTGGACGGTGGTTGTTGGACGGTGGTTGTTGGACGGTGGTTGTTGTTGGATGGTTGTTGTTGGACGATGGTTGTTGTTGGATGGTGGTTGTTGTTGGACGGTGGTTGTTGGAGGGTGGTTGTTGTTGGATGGTTGTTGTTGGACGATGGTTGTTGTTGGTCGGTGGTTGTTGTTGGATGGTGGTTGTTGGATGGTGGTTGTTGTTGGATGGTTGTTGTTGGAGGGTGGTTGTTGTTGGATGGTTGTTGTTGGACGATGGTTGTTGTTGGACGGTGGTTGTTGTTGGATGGTGGTTGTTGATGGATGGTTGTTGTTGTTGGATGGTGGTTGTTGTTGGACGGTGGTTGTTGGACGGTTGTTGTTGGACGGTTGTTGTTGGATGGTTGTTGTTGGATGGTTGTCGTTGGATGGTGGTTGTTGGACGGTGGTTGTTGTTGGATGGTGGTTGTTGTTGGATGGTGGTTGTTGTTGGACGGTGGTTGTTGTTGGATGGTGGTTGTTGTTGGACGGTGGTTGTTGTTGGACGGTGGTTGTTGTTGGACGGTGGTTGTTGTTGGACGGTGGTTGTTGTTGGACGGTGGTTGTTGTTGGACGGTGGTTGTTGTTGGACGGTGGTTGTTGTTGGACGGTGGTTGTTGTTGGACTGTGTGTTGTTGTTGGACGGTGGTTGTTGTTGGACGGTGGTTGTTGTTGGACGGTGGTTGTTGTTGGACGGTGGTTGTTGTTGGATGGTGGTTGTTGGACGGTGGTTGTTGTTGGATGGTGTGTTGGATGGTTGTTGTTGGATGGTTGTTGTTGGACGGTGGTTGGTTGTTGGATGGTGGTTGTTGTTGGACGGTGGTTGTTGTTGGACGGTGGTTGTTGTTGGATGGTGGTTGTTGGACGGTGGTTGTTGTTGGATGGTGGTTGTTGGACGGTGGTTGTTGTTGGCGGTGGTTGTTGTTGGACGATGGTTGTTGTTGGGGATGGTTGTTGTTGGACGATGGTTGTTGTTGGACGGTGGTTTTTTGTTGGTGTTGGTTGTTGTTGGATGGTTGTTGTTGGATGGTTGTTGTTGGACGGTGGTTGTTGTTGGATGGTGGTTGTTGTTGGACGGTGGCTGGTGTTGGACGATGGCCCCTGGAAGACTGGCACGTTTGTATCGGCTCTAAAACTAGAACTCATGGTACCAAAACCAGAGACACGTCCCTGTGATCCCAGAGACACGTCCCTGTGAGCCCAGAGACAAGTTCCTGTGATCCCAGAGACACGTCCCTGTGATCCCAGAGACACGTCCCTGTGAGCCCAGAGACACGTTCCTGTGATCCCAGAGACACGTCCCTGTGAGCCCAGAGACACGTTCCTGTGATCCCAGAGACACGTCCCTGTGATCCCAGAGAGACGTCCCTGTGATCCCAGAGAGAGGTCCCTGTGATCCCAGAGACACGTCCCTGTGAGCCCAGAGAAACGTCCCTGTGATCCCAGAGAGACGTCCCTGTGAGCCCAGAGACACGTCCCTGTGATCCCAGAGACACGTCCCTGTGATCCCAGAGACACGTCCCTGTGAGCCCAGAGACACATCCCCGTGATTCCAGAGACACGTCCCTGTGATCCCAGAGACACATCCCTTTTAGCCCAGAGAGACGTCCCTGTGATCCCAGAGACACGTCCCTGTGAGCCCAGAGAGAGACGTCCCTGTAAGCCCAGAGACACGTCCCTGTGAGCCCAGAGACACGTCCCTGTGAGCCCAGAGACACGTCCCTGTGAGCCCAGACACACGTCCCTGTGATCCCAGAGACACGTCCCTGTGATCCCAGAGACACGTCCCTGTGAGCCCAGAGACACGTCCCTGTGAGCCCAGAGAGAGACGTCCCTGTGAGCCCAGAGACACGTCCCTGTGAGCCCAGAGAGAGACGTCCCTGTGAGCCCAGAGACACGTACCTGTGAGTCCAGAGAGAGACGTCCCTGTGAGACTAGAGAGACGTCCCTGTGATCCAAGAGAGACGTCCCTGTGATCCAAGAGAGACGTCCCTGTGAGCCCAGAGAGGGACATCCCTGTGAGCTCAGAGACACGTCCCTGTGAGCCCAGAGACACGTCCCTGTGAGCCCAGAGACACATCCCTGTGAGCCCAGACACACGTCCCTGTGATCCCAGAGACACGTCCCTGTGATCCGAGAGACACGTCCCTGTGAGCCCAGAGAGAGACGTCCCTGTGAGCCCAGAGACACGTCCCTGTGAGCCCAGAGAGAGACGTCTCTGTGAGCCCAGAGACACGTACCTGTGAGTCCAGAGAGAGACGTCCCTGTGAGACTAGAGAGACGTCCCTGTGATCCAAGAGAGACGTCCCTGTGATCCAAGAGAGACGTCCCTGTGAGCCCAGAGAGGGACATCCCTGTGAGCTCAGAGACACGTCCCTGTGAGCCCAGAGACACGTCCCTGTGAGCCCAGAGACACGTCCCTGTGAGCTCAGAGAGGCGTCCCTGTGAGCCCAGAGAGAGACGTCCCTGTGAACCCAGAGACACGTCCCTGTAAGCTCAGAGAGACGTCCCTGTGAGCCCAGAGAGACGTCCCTGTGAGCCCAGAGAGACGTCCCTGTGAGCTCAGAGAGACGTCCCTGTGAGCCCAGAGAGAGACGTCCCTGTGAGCCCAGAGACACGTCCCTGTGATCCCAGAGACACGTCCCTGTGATCCCAGAGACACGTCCCTGTGAGCCCAGAGACACGTCCCTGTGAGCCCAGAGAGAGACGTCCCTGTGAGCCCAGAGACACATCCCTGTGAGCCCAGAGAGAGACGTCCCTGTGAGCCCAGAGAGAGACGTCCCTGTGAGCTCAGAGACACGTACCTGTGAGCCCAGAGACACGTCCCTGTGAGCCCAGAGAGACGTCCCTGTGAGCCCAGAGAGAGACATCCCTGTGAGCTCAGAGACACGTCCCTGTGAGCCCAGAGACACGTCCCTGTGAGCCCAGAGAGACGTCCCTGTGATCCCAGAGACACGTCCCTGTGATCCCAGAGACACGTCCCTGTGAGCCCAGAGACACGTCCCTGTGAGCCCAGAGACACGTCCCTGTGATCCCAGAGACACGTCCCTGTGATCCCAGAGACACGTCTCTGTGAGCCCAGAGACACGTCCCTGTGAGCCCAGAGACACGTCCCTGTGAGCCCAGAGAGACGTCCCTGTGATCCCAGAGACACGTCCCTGTGATCCCAGAGACACGTCCCTGTGAGCCCAGAGAGACGTCCCTGTGATCCCAGAGACACGTCCCTGTGATCCCAGAGACACGTCCCTGTGAGCCCAGAGACACATACCTGTGAGTCCAGAGAGAGACGTCCCTGTGAGACTAGAGAGACGTCCCTGTGATCCAAGAGAGACGTCCCTGTGATCCAAGAGAGACGTCCCTGTGAGCCCAGAGAGGGACATCCCTGTGAGCTCAGAGACACGTCCCTGTGAGCCCAGAGACACGTCCCTGTGAGCCCAGAGACACGTCCCTGTGAGCCCAGAGAGACGTCCCTGTGAGCCCAGAGAGAGACGTCCCTGTGAACCCAGAGACACGTCCCTGTAAGCCCAGAGAGACGTCCCTGTGAGCCCAGAGAGACGTCCCTGTGAGCCCAGAGAGACGTCCCTGTGAGCTCAGAGAGACGTCCCTGTGAGCCCAGAGAGAGACGTCCCTGTGAACCCAGAGACACGTCCCTGTAAGCTCAGAGAGACGTCCCTGTGAGCCCAGAGAGACGTCCCTGTGAGCCCAGAGAGACGTCCCTGTGAGCCCAGAGAGACGTCCCTGTGAGCCCAGAGAGAGACGTCCCTGTGAGCCCAGAGAGAGACGTCCCTGTGATCCCAGAGACACGACCCTGTGATCCCAGAGACATGTCCCTGTGATCCCAGAGACACGTCCCTGTGAACCCAGAGACACGTCCCTGTAAGCTCAGAGAGACGTCCCTGTGAGCCCAGAGAGACGTCCCTGTGAGCCCAGAGAGAGACGTCCCTGTGAGCCCAGAGAGAGACGTCCCTGTGATCCCAGAGACACGACCCTGTGATCCCAGAGACATGTCCCTGTGATCCCAGAGACACGTCCCTGTGAGCCCAGAGACACGTCCCTGTGAGCCCAGAGAGAGACATCCCTGTGAGCTCAGAGACACGTCCCTGTGAGCCCAGAGACACGTCCCTGTGAGCCCAGAGAGACGTCCCTGTGATCCCAGAGACACGTCCCTGTGATCCCAGAGACACGTCCCTGTGAGCCCAGAGACACGTCCCTGTGAGCCCAGAGACACGTCCCTGTGAGCCCAGAGACACGTCCCTGTGAGCCCAGAGAGACGTCCCTGTGAGCCCAGAGAGACGTCCCTGTGAGCCCAGAGACACGTCCCTGTGAGCCCAGAGAGACGTCCCTGTGAGCCCAGAGAGACGTCCCTGTGAGCCGAGAGAGAGACGTCCCTGTGATCCCAGAGAGACGTCCCTGTAAGCTCAGAGAGACGTCCCTGTGAGCCCAGAGAGACGTCCCTGTGAGCCCAGAGAGACGTCCCTGTGAGCCCAGAGAGACGTCCCTGTGAGCCCAGAGAGAGACGTCCCTGTGAGCCCAGAGACATGTCCCTGTGATCCCAGAGACACGTCCCTGTGAGCCCAGAGAGAGACATCCCTGTGAGCTCAGAGACACGTCCCTGTGAGCCCAGAGACACGTCCCTGTGAGCCCAGAGAGACGTCCCTGTGATCCCAGAGACACGTCCCTGTGATCCCAGAGACACGTCCCTGTGAGCCCAGAGACACGTCCCTGTGAGCCCAGAGACACGTCCCTGTGAGCCCAGAGAGACGTCCCTGTGAGCCCAGAGAGACGTCCCTATGAGCCCAGAGAGAGACGTCCCTGTGATCCCAGAGATGTCCCTGTGATCCCAGAGAGAGACATCCCTGTGAGCTCAGAGACACGTCCCTGTGAGCCCAGAGAAACGTCCCTGTGAGCCCAGAGAGAGACGTCCCTGTGATCCCTGCACCTGCGGACTGCCCCGCCCGACCCGCCTGGGAGTGCTTCAGTCCTGCACCGGACCTGTCCACGTTCAGCGTCCACTGGTCCACGTTCTGTAGCTAGCTTAGGTCCTGGATCATTAGCCTGTCCGTCCGGAGGAGCGGATCCCTTTCTCATATGGGTCTCCCTCCCTGTGGGTTTCCCTAGTGCTCCCCAAGGTTTCTCACTTTTTCCCACTGGGTTTTTTAAGAGTTTTTCCTTGTCGATGCAGGAGGGTCTTGTTGGACAGTTAGTGTCCAACAGAAAGGATTGGTGATGATCAGGACACTTTAGCATTCTACAACATGTATGGACATTTTCTTCTGTGTGTGCTTTATATTCTTCATGTGTTTTAACTGTTGATTCTCTGACCTGTGTTGGTGATTTCAATGGTTTTGTTAAGTCTCTGAGATGACTTCTGTTGTGACCTAGGGCTATACAAGAATACATTGTATTGTATCCCAGAGACACGTCCCTGTGACCCCAGAGAGGGACATCCCTGTGAATTTAGAGACACGTCCCTGTGAGCCCAGAGACACGTCCCTGTGAGCCCAGAGAGAGACATCCCTGTGAGCTCAGAGACACGTCCCTGTGAGCCCAGAGACACGTCCCTGTGAGCCCAGAGAGAGACATCCCTGTGAGCTCAGAGACACGTCCCTGTGAGCCCAGAGACACGTCCCTGTGAGCCCAGAGACATGTCCCTGTGAGCCTAGAGACACCTCCCTGTGAGCCCAGAGACACGTCCCTGTGAGCCCAGAGAGAGACATCCCTGTGAGCTCAGAGACACGTCCCTGTGAGCCCAGAGACACGTCCCTCTGAGCCCAGAGACATGTCCCTGTGAGCCTAGAGACACCTCCCTGTGAGCCCAGAGACACGTCCCTGTGAGCCCAGAGACATCTCCCTGTGAGCCCAGAGACACGTCCCTGTGAGCCTGGAGACAAGTCCCTGTGAGCCCAGAGACACGTCCCTGTGAGCCCAGAGACACCTCCCTGTGAGCCCAGAAAGAGACGTCCCTGTGACCCCAGAGAGACATCCCTGTGGGCCCAAAGAGACATCCCTCTGAGCTCAGAAACACGTCCCTGTGAGCCCAGAGAGAGACGTGCCTGTGAGCCCAGAGACACCTCCCTGTGAGCCCAGAGACACGTCCCTGTGAGCCCAGAGAGACGTCCCTGTGAGCCCAGAGACAAGAGAGAGAGAGGTGAGCAGAGAGAGAGAGAGACGCGAGCAGAGAGAGAGAAAGGTGAGCAGAGAGAGAGAGACGCGAGCAGAGAGAGAGAGACGCGAGCAGAGAGAGAGAGACGCGAGCAGAGAGAGAGAGAGATGCGAGCAGAGAGAGAGAGATGCGAGCAGAGAGAGAGAGATGCGAGCAGAGAGAGAGAGATGCGAGCAGAGAGAGAGAGATGCGAGCAGAGAGAGAGATGCGAGCAGAGAGAGAGAGGCGTGAGCAGAGAGAGAGAGCAGAGAGAGACGTGAGCAGAGAGAGAGAGACGTGAGCAGAGAGAGACGTGAGCAGAGAGAGAGAGCAGAGAGAGACGTGAGCAGAGAGAGAGAGACGTGAGCAGAGAGAGAGAGCAGAGAGAGACGTGAGCAGAGAGAGAGAGACGCGAGCAGAGAGAGACGTGAGCAGAGAGAGAGAGACGTGAGCAGAGAGAGAGAGAGACGTGAGCAGAGAGAGAGAGACGCGAGCAGAGAGAGAGAGAGAGAGGTGAGCAGAGAGAGAGACGCGAGCAGAGAGAGACGTGAGCAGAGAGAGAGAGACGTGAGCAGAGAGAGAGGGACACGAGCAGAGAGAGAGACGTGAGCAGAGAGAGAGAGACGTGAGCAGAGAGAGAGAGACACGAGCAGAGAGAGAGACGTGAGCAGAGAGAGAAGGACGCGAGCAGAGAGAGAGACGCGAGCAGAGAGAGAGAGACGCGAGCAGAGAGAGAGAGACGCGAGCAGAGAGAGAGACGCGAGCAGAGAGAGAGAGACGCGAGCAGAGAGAGAGAGACGTGAGTCCGCGTGTCTATGGTCCGCGCTCGGAGCCCAGACGGCAGTGCGTTCACTGAGCGGAGGATGTAACGTAACGTTCGGTTTATCAAAACATATCACAATATTTAATGTATATTAAATAAATTCTAGTGAATTTCACCTAGATTTTTTCAGACATTAAAGACAAGATGTTATATAATAATTGTTTAATGAAAAAACAATTTTGCCACAAGCAACCAAAAGATGTGCCTCAGACAAGAATCGAACCTGGGTTCTCCAGGTCCCAGTCTTTGATGCTAACCATTGGGCCAACATAGCACCTCTGGGCTAGACAGGTTTGCACGCACTGTTATACCTGAGCGTCTAAGTCACTGGCAGAGCTAAAGTGGACTTAGCCTGCCACCTTGTGGCGATAAGATGTACTATTTTTCACGCAGCTGCGTGATTCCCGAGAAGCGTGAATGAAGACGACAAAACGGAATGGGACCTACTGTACGCTCAGATCTGGGCGGATCTCTCATGTTCATAAATCCGACGTTGGATTTTGCGTAAATGGAATATACACCCAAAATGTACACCTTTTTCTCCGCAAGTTTCATAAATGAGCTTGTGTGTATGTGTGTGCTTGAGTGCGTGTGCGTGCGTGAGTGCGTTTGAACCATATTCTTTGAAACCTCAATTCCAGCTACCCCTTGTAGTTTGCGAGCAAATTTGGCCTACTTACTAATCTGCAGGCCTACCCAAAATTGCGCCGCTGTTATAAGGATACGTTATTTCAAATGAATGCGTAGTTGCTCAACTAATAGAAATATTAAACTGTCTTCTTATTGCATTCGTTACCCTAACAAATGCTAACACTAAATAATACGGACATTAGCTATATCTATTATGGCACAGATGTTGCTAATGTTCGTATTATTTAGCGTTAGCATAAAAAACAGAGAAATAAACAGCGGTACTACAGAGGCCTTTTGTGGCCTTGGTGCGCGTGTTTTAATACAACACATTATAGCATTAATAATGTCCGTGCATTCTCTGGCTCCGTGCTGTACGTGCCATTAGAGGTCTACTGTTAACTCAAAGAAACTCAGAGAAAGAACCAAATTTTATTCCACACGCGGTAGTGTAAAGGCTGATACGTTAATAAAGTGAAACTAGAAACTTGCAATGGCTGAAGCCATTGCGATTGACTGCGGAACAGATCTAATGTGGAATTTAGCTGAAAAATCCTTGAAATCCTTGAAACTGTTAAAATACTTTAAACATCTTTGAAACTCCTGAAGTATTTGAAGCTCCTGATATCCTTTAAACTGTTATCCTTTATACTGGTTTACATGTAAAAACCCCTATTAAGTTGCATTATACTGGTTTACATGGAAAAATCCCCATTAAGTTGCATTATACTGGTTTACATGGAAAAAACCCTATTAAGTTGCATTATACTGGTTTACATGGAAAAATCCCTATTAAGTTGCATTATACTGGTTTACATGTAAAAATCCCTATTAAGTTGCATTATACTGGTTTACATGGAAAAACCCCTATTAAGTTGCATTGTACTGGTTTACATGGAAAAATCCCTATTAAGTTGCATTATACTGGTTTACATGGAAAAAACCCTATTAAGTTCCATTATACTGGTTTACATGTAAAAAAAAACCCTATTAAGTTGCATTATACTGGTTTACATGTAAAAACCCATATTAAGTTGCATTATACTGGTTTACATGGAAAAATCCCCATTAAGTTGCATTATACTGGTTTACATGAAAAAAACCCTATTAAGTGGCATTATACTGGTTTACATGAAAAAAACCCTATTAAGTTGCATTATACTGGTTTACATGGAAAAATCCCTATTAAGTTGCATTATACTGGTTTACATGGAAAAATCCCTATTAAGTTGCATTCTACTGGTTTACATGGAAAAAACCCTATTAAGTTGCATTATACTGGTTTACATGGAAAAAACCCTATTAAGTTGCATTATACTGGTTTACATGGAAAAATCCCTATTAAGTTGCATTATACTGGTTTACATGTAAAAACCCCTATTAAGTTGCATTATACTGGTTTACATGGAAAAATCCCTATTAGGTTGCATGATTACACTGAAGTCCTTGAAACTGGTGAAGTCCTTGAAACTGTTGAAGTCCTTGAAACTGTTGAAGTCCTTGAAACTCTTGAAACCTTGAAACTGCTGAAGTCCTTGAAACTGTTGAATCATTGAAACTGTTGAATCATTGAAACTGTTGAATCATTGAAACTGTAGAAATGTCTGAAAGAGCTGAAGTCCTATTAAAATGCATGGGCCTATTAAAATGCATTGCAGAATTCTCAATGCAAATTAATGGCAGAATTCCCAAGTCCCGTAAAAAAAAACTGGAAAACTGCAGAACTCTATTTTTTTCTGAAAACTCACAAGTTGTGGAAGCTGAACATGCACAAACTGCAGAAAATGCTGAAAATGTTGAAGAAAATTCTGAAAACTATGAATTTGTGGAAGCCCCATTATAAGTCAATGGGAAAAATCGACCGATTTTTGTCCGATTGCGGAAAAACCGGAAATCGCTGAAGTCCCAAAAGTAATAGCAATAATCTCCCAAACATGTGGAACGTTTTGATGTATAACTTGTGGAAATTGTTGAAAATGTGAAAGCTGTGAAA